ATCAGTCCGAGCAGCGTTTATTAATTTATATACTACTTTTACAATATATATGAATATATTTGTTAATTAATTACCTTGTGATCCAGTTAATAGTTTCCAATTCCCGACTCGAATAGCTGCTCTTACTCTGACATCGAAAGTCTGTTTCTCCTTCAGCAATGGCTCTTGATAATGTCCGGCTAACATGTCTGGCTGCATGTTGATAAGTACGTCATTTCTTTTAGACATGAAGTTCTTGCTGTGAATAAATTGAGGTTGCATTTTCACTTCACAATCTTTGAGTTGTCATCCCCTGATATATATAGTAAACAATTTAGACTGTGAATGGATTATGAGAAATTTACCGCAAAGTAGAATTGAAACAGGGCCTCCTAAATCTGGTTACATTTCTAAACAATATAAACTAACTGAATTTGGAGGCCTTGATTGCCATTGAAAGTCAGTTCATTGTAGGTATGTACTTAGATAAGACCCTTTAGTACTAGTAAAAAAATATATGGGAAAGTATATCTACTTTTAATCACAAGATTTTTAGTAACAATATCATCATTTCAACACATATCATGTTTTAGTTTGTTCTGGCAGTGATGTTGCCAACTGACAGAGGTTATATTTTCTAGCAAAATAATTAAATCAAAAGTGCAATATTATAAACAATGTAACAGCGATACAGTGTGAACGGTGATATCCTCATAGATACGCACATACAATTTCATGTTCTACATAAATATTCATGAGTAATTCAAAGTTAAAGCGATGACAAAATCACTGATGCATTTTCTCGTTTGATGACGTCATACCAAACCACAAAACACAGCCTAGTTTATGAGACTTGTCAACCCTATCCCTAAGCCACATGTCCGCCGTATATGAATTATTTTCTAACCCAAGCCACAGCCCCCGCTCCAACGTGGCATAGCGTGATTTCCACACCGTACGTGCCAAATCACCTAGTATACCGTTTCATACGTCATAATCCTATTCATGCTTGCGTGAACTCACACACTATACGTGCAGTGCACCCAATAACATTATTATCTACTTACATTACCCATGATGCATTTATGCGCCATTTTTCAATATGTTGAGGGTCAAGAATTGTTGTGTGAGTGTGAACTACCGACACCTTTATTTATAAAATAATTAAAATAGTTTGGCTTTCACATACAGCAGAATAGAAGCCATTAGACCCATGTAAGTATTCTTTGACAGGAAACATTTCATTATTGTCTCCTGTTTTTTGTTTTGTTTTTTTGTTCTTTTTGTTCTTTGACAATTGTGTCATATATAATGCTTAAAACATATTTTTGACTGACACGTTTACATTCCTAGCTAATACCCTACCGCAGTTGTACGTATAGTCATCAATACAAGCACATGACATTTGACAGAGCACTTGGCATAACTAATTGTGTGCACGTAGTTGGGAGTAACATTTGTTTAGGATTGTACTGAAAACAGGGAGACTGGGATCCAGACAAGGTCAAACAATGGTTAACTATTCACATTTAATCCCTTTATCATCCAAAATATATATCAACCCTATTTGAGGTGGAAAATAGTCAACGAAAATTACTTACATGTTAGTTTATCAACAATTGAATGTTTTATTCAGTAAACGTTCATTGCCGCGAGGCGAGTTTTCGGGGAGTGCCTTAGAGTATTTGTTGTTTCTCTCCTCGTTACATTTTGAAGAGTCTGTAATCCGTGCTCTGATTGGTTGAGTCAGATGTAATTAAGGCGAACGGGATCAGTTATATAAAAAAATTTATAACGGCAAGTGAAACCCCAAAGCAATATAAAAATAACAATAAAACAATTAAGTTAAAATTATAAAAAACGGGAGCCTATTCTTACATCAAATCGGATTGGCGCAGTCATCAATCCACGCCAGATAAGGCTTTAAATGCAAAATCAGCTTCAAAATGCATATATTGAAAATTGATTTAAAACACACATCAAAACCACACATATTTACCTTATAGTATCCCACTGATTTACACCATATAAGTTTTTTGATTTTATTACGTCATTATCAACACCAGCTATATGTAATATTGTAGGAAACCAGTCAGTCACGTGCATGAGGTGATTATTCGATGTTCCTTTCACGTGGTCAGCTAGAAGTGAACTTGTAACGAATGATACACCCCGTACGCCACCCTCCCATAGCGTTGCTTTCTCGCCTTTGAGAGGCCAGTTGTTTCCACTTATGTGAACCCCTCCATTGTCTGACAATAGAATAATAGAGCATTTATTCAAAAGAATTCGATTGCCTTAATTTATTCGCCAATCTGGATAATTTTATTTCCCGTCATGAAGTTTACACTTCCTGTATAATATGCTTTGTACTCACACCGGTAGTACACGCGCTAGTGACTTCAACACCATGTGTCATTTTATAAGACATAAAATGGTTACACGTAGCAATATTTTCAATCACAATAAATAAACTTTTAATATTAAACCCATATTCACTAGTTTAATTATTTGGAGGACTTATAATGCGCATATTCTCCTAAAACGAGCTCTATGAGCATTACATAACGTAAAAGACTACCAATAAAAATCACCAGAACTATAAAAAAACAAGTTAAAACTAGTAAAATTGACTACAGTGATATGTTTTCAGTGCCCCCTTAATAATAAAACCAAATCAAAACAAATCCATCATCCAATAACATACAAGATGACAAGAGTCATTAGGTCCATGAGACGCACAATTCACCAACAGTGTAAGTATGGACCATCTTGAACCACTCTACGTCTCTGTACAAGTGGTGGTACCAGGTGTCAGGAATGGGTAAGCATACCCTGATAGCATGCTACACCATGATACCAATAACTCCAGAAGCATGTAGCTATCTAGGCAAGTTGTAAAATAGTTTATAGTGAGTCATATCCAGGAATACTGTGTCTCATCATTTGCGAGACAGACATGTCAAATTTTGAAATTATGATGAATGTGAGACTAAATGGCGGATGGAGAAGGGCATGCAATTCCAAATGCTTGGACCTAGGTATTGGAATGCACGTTCACCGGATGATTTAGCCTTGGTGCGTGGTTTCGTTAATATTCGATCTTCTGATGACGAACGCAATTATCTAGCGGGATTGTATTTATGTAGAAGATTTGACAGGTATCGTGGGCCAGTGTTACTTATTGATAAGTAGCATAAACTTGAAATTTTATATTCAATGCGTTTGCTAACTGTGAAGCGATTTTAAAAGTGGTGAAATGTGAGAAGATAAACCTCGCTTGCAGATAGGACGAGCTGCTGAATTCTGAACTCGTTGAAGATTCTTTATCAAATAATCAGGGCATCCGACTAATAAGCTATTGCCACAGATAGTATGAGAGCACAGGCAAAAGTTCGTGTTACTTTTGGTGTAAGATAGTGACAAATAGAAGAATTAATCTTAGTTGAATATAGCATGATTTGCATATACACCATGTCCCAAAAGTTCGTATACGTTGATTAGCAATCAATAACACATGCTGATAGAATCCCAAAATTTAATATCAACTGTATCCCCTTTTCATCTTAATAACATATTTGGGCCACTTAGGCATAGAGTGCACCAAGTCCTTGGGAACTGAGGGCTCAACGTTCTCCCATTCCTTTACTGCCCTTGCATTTAGCTGCTTCATGGACATAGGTCGTTGGCTAGATTCTGTCATTCAGTATCCCCTAGCAGTTCTCAATTGGATTCAAGTCTGGTGAGTTGGGAGGCCATTCCGCTTTGCGGAGAAAGCCAAGAAGTTTCCTGGAACACCACTCCTGGCTCACATGGGCGGTATGAGCAGGTGCACCATCCTGCATGAACACCATGTTCGAGTGTCGTTTGTACACCTTCTGGCTGGTGACAGGACCACTCCTTCTCTTTCTGCTCATAATGAGCACCAGTGTCGGTTCCAGTCTCACCTGCAGATAGTATTGAGCGTTTACTGTGGTCCCCTGCGGCACTATGTGAAGCTCAGACAGCCCGGATGCTGACACGGCACCCCACACCATGGTATGGGCACTGAAGGAGGCACTTTCTCAGGACTATCGGAGGTCTCAATCATTTTGACTGTTGGTCGTCAGTTCCAAATACAAGGGGCACTCGTTGGAGAAAATCCAGTTCTCCCAGTCCTCTGGGGTTAATCTGGCATACTTCCTGGCAAAAGACAGCCTGTTCCCTTTCTGGATCTCTGTCAGTCATGGTATTTTGGGCCTCTTCTATGCTCTCAAACCAATTTTCTGGGTCAAATAGCGATGAACAGTGCTCTTAGAGCATTTCTCGTCAATGTTTTTTAGTCTTTGACTCAACCGCCTGCATGACTGTCGCCTTCTGCCCTTGGCCTTCCTGATGATGTCCCTGGCTCTGGCAGTGAGCACATGAGGACGTCCAGATCGGCGCTTATCTTCAAGGCCTGCACCTTGCTTGTAACGCTTGGTCTGCCCCATCGTACATTTCTCCCCCAGGATGAGGCAACCTGCTCACAAGTTTTTCACAAGTCATATGGGTATTACTCAAGCCAGTGAGACAAACTGATATATTCGGAATATTTTATGCAATCAGCCTACACATATGACCCAGATGGATAACCAGACGCCAGCTGGTTGACCAGGTGGTGTCGGATGTAAGAATAATGGGGGTAAATGCCTGAACAATAAGGTGGACGATTTTTTGGGACACGGTGCACATGTATTAAGTACTTAGTGATATTGCAATCAAGTGTGACACCAATATTGCGGACTGATGACGAGAAAGAGATAACAGACTCGCCAATGGACATCGTCAAGGGTAGTGAAAATCTAGATGTTACTTTTGATGAGCATACAAGCATAGCTTCGGATTTTGAGTCATTAAGTTGTAATTTGTTCTGTGTCTTCATTTTTGATGTTGGTAATGCAATTCTGGACAATCTTGATGGTTGAACCAATTTGATGAACATTAGAGTGTGTATATAGTTGATTGTCATCAGCAAAGGCATGATGATTCACTTAATGCGCCTTAACAATATCAAAAAGTGGTTCTGTATACAAGACAAACAAAACAGGTCCCAGAGCTGAGCCCTGTGGAACCGAAGTGTAATGGCGATACATCCAACTTTACGCCATTAATACAAATGGTCTGTGATCTTCTGTTTCAATCGATGTAGTAGAATTGTGTGGTCGATGGTGTCAAAGGCAACAGAAAGGTCCAATAAAGTCAAAATACTGACCTTCCCCTTGTCTACCACGTCCAGAAGGTCATTAACGAGTTTTAGTAAAGCGGCTTCTGTACTGTGGTGTGATCTGTATGCAGACTGTAGTGGGTTCAACTTTGAAATGGAAGTGGTCGAGAAAGCGTTGAGGAAGTTCAACAAGCGGAAATACAGTTGGAAGAGACAAGGAATTTTTGTTGCCAAATAACTGATCGTTGGTACTGAATAATTGTCTAATGGTGGCACTATGAATGAGTTTTGTAACCATGTTCTTTGTATAGTTATAAATGTGTTCGTGGACTACAATCCCAGTGCGTAGAATTTGTCTATATGCACGTCTACGTCGTTGTTTTACAATCCTTAAATCATCGTTGATTCTATTGAACCAGGATGTTGCCTTGCGGTGTGAGCGTCGTCGTCGTCGTCGTCGTCGTAATGGGGCGTGTTTGCCCAAGACTGTCTTTAACTGGGAATGACAAATTTCGGCAGTAATGGAGTTTATGCTTGAGAGGCTGTCGCATAAGTCAATATTGAAGGCTTCGAGATCGATCGTGCACAGATGTAACGTAGTCTAGTTTTCGTTGTTGGATTGTGACATTTAAATTTCTGATAATACACATGTGATCAGATGTTAACTGACTGGTAACGATGGTTAACTTCACCAGGTTACAATCCGATTTATATAGTAGCCAATCAAGAATGTGATCCTTTTCGTGGATTGATTGAGAGACAGACTGGATCAAATTAAATGTTGAAATAATGTCATTCATGACGTACTTGAGTTGATGAGGTTATCATAATGGATGTTAAAATCACCTAAGTTTATACTGTCACCTGTGACAGGAACGGTGCAATTTTAGGTGCGCCTTCCCCACCCCAAACACATAAAATACATTACTGTCTATGTAATTGCCACCTCCCATTCCAAACACGTGACTACAAAACAAATGTATTCCCATAGCTAAAATTATTAAATTTAATTCCAATTAGGTATATAGTCGGGACCATTTCCCTGATTTCACACGATTGCAAAAGACAACTGTAAACAGTGACTCCCTGTGCCAATTTATTTACTCAAGGTATAATTATGTCTATTTCAGTTTATTTAATATGTTAGATGTAACTAGCCGGATATGAACAATTATTTAACCAAGTGTTAAATTTATATTGTCCAGAATAAACATGCCCCATCAAACACACATACTCATGTATGTTTGAGCTTACCTGTGGACACTATCAAAACAGTATTGTCCCAGAGATGTGATTCTTTCAATTGGTCCACTACGCTACCAATCGCATCGTCCATACATGTAACCATGGCAGCATACACACGCCGGGCAGGATTGTCTATATCGGGATACATGTCGATGTATTTGTCGGGTGCCTGTATAGGTTTATGAGCAGCTTGGAATGCCAGGTACAAGAACATTGGCTGAAACGGCAAATGTATACATATTATAACCGTGACGGTAGTCATGCCACCGAAACGAGGCGATAATTGTGATGATGATTCGCGTATCTGGTCGCCCAGAAAATAATGAATTGTGTACTGAACATATATTATTCGTTTGTTTGATTAATTAGTAATTAAACTTTGAGTTACTAAATGTAAACGTTAAACAACAACATTTATTCATGTTGTCTGTTGCTTGAAGTACGGTTCACGGTTAACTAACGATCGATCCGAGTCAGTAACTCAAATTTCAGTGACAATGTATTCGCACATCAAGTTTTAATTTAGACGGGGTTTTGCAGAAGTTGGCGGGGTTTCCGACTAAATTTTTGTAACTCGATAGGTTCGTAACTCGAACGATTTAGCATCTCTTGTGTGAGCAATATACCATAAAATTCAATATAAAACAAAACATTATTATTCGCATATCAACTTTCTCAGAGTTCTTCATATTTTCTTCTATATATTTAATGACATATCTCAACATAACTGTTAATATTATACATCTGTCACCGTAACGCCATAAGTTGCAGCGTGCCGTGATTTTGTGGTATTTTACGGGGTATTTTCATACTACCATATTAGGAAATGCGAATTCCAAATATGGAATAATTACGCGCGTAAGCGTCCTCTAATAATAAAAAACAAACATGGCTGCCACCAGGATTTGACCGGACTCCATACAAAGGAGTTCGCTGATTCTGTTCTAAACTTTTTGGATTTCGGCATTTCCATGATGTATCCTTGGAAGGAAAAGATGTATAATAGTAAGGTTATTACGAAGATACATCAAAGTATGCTTTCAGACAGTACGCTGTCGTGCATACTTTGAGGTATCTTCGTAATAACCTTATAATCATTCATTCTAAGAAAGAACAACTAAATGTTTTAAAACGGCGGACTGGCACTTTTACATAGTGTACTCAGCTGAATTTTGCATTGAGTCTAATGCTATGTATGATGTCACTGTGTCCACATATTGCCGTGAAGTATATTACAAGAAATATAGTGGCATATGTCAGTTACGCCGCTACAGTTAAATGAGAGAAATTATCAGTCGATTCGATTACTCTTTTTCTATCTAGTAAAGGGAATATAAGAATGATTTCTGTGTAAGCGGGAGTGTTTTCACATTTGCAAAGGATGGGCAACCTTGCGACATTGACTATCTTGAATACTGATTAAAAATTGTTGTGTAAAATGACAAAACCAGTGCCTGGCAATTTGACAAAAGTTTTGACTTTTCTCTGTCATGTTTGATACGACTATATAGCTTAGCTACATTTCCAGACGCTGAATATTAACGTTGTCTCTGCAAATACAAGGGTATTGCGCATATCGCAAACAACTTAGAAACGTAGCAAAAATACAGTGAATCAGTAATCTGCCAAGAACTCAGCCTGTGGCCTTGATCACCCCAATAAATCTATATCACACACACAACTTTTATTTAAAACAAACACAGTCACGTCCACTGGTTACAGGTAGGGATGTCCAATCCCAGGTTAAATCCTGGTCCGATGAGTGTATTGAACCGGCGTAACAACGAATTTATTCACTATACGTATATCATTATAATTTTTTGTCATAATATTATATAATTTCTACCAAGTTAAGATATCAGAATTACATGCTGAAAAGTACTCGTAATTCAATTTTCCGATCCACAATTGATAACAATTATCTTAGTTGTTAGGTAAATGTTTCTGTATAAAGTCAACTACGAACTCCAAATTGTTACACAGAAAACATCTATGAATTTTGAAATAAATAGTCACCTTGTTAACATCATGATTTTTTATAATTGTTCTTGCTTCTTTTGCATACAACTCGGTGGAATACTGCCCTCTGTATTCGTGTGCAACATTCTCAGCGTTTCTATGCAAATCCCACCAGGTCTCGTGCACCTGATAAGTGTAGTGGTCTGCTGCAGCACTATAAATGCCTTAAACAAACACGTGTTTACCATTTCGATTACTTTGTGAAACAACAAGGAAACAAGTGCACGAAGTGAAGGATAAATACATGGTTTCAAATCGGGGGAAACTGTTACATTACATTACAATACATTTCATTACATTACATTACACCACATCACATCACATTACATTACATTACATTACATTACATTACATTACATTACATTACATTACAACACCATTTTAATAATAACAGTATTTAACAATAAAGTCTATGAAACCATAATTCATTTTTGTAGCTTTGCATTTACGTAAAAATACTAACCAAAGAATGAATCAAAACCTCGATTATTGGGCAGACATTCTTCTTTGTAGAAGCCAAGGTGCCATTTTCCGACGGCATGGGTAGTATACTGTTTTAATTTGAGTTCTTGTGCAATCGTTGTTTCCGTAGTGGGCAAGCATCTTCTATCAAGATCCCTTATTATGCCATCTTGCATACCCAGATGTATCTGACAATCATAAAAATACAAATATAATAACTAATCATTAACTTCAATGAACATTTAACTGTGTCAACTTTTACAAAATAAAACCCACATCAAGTTTTCCTGATTTTTTCTAATATTTTGATCAAGATCTGCAACCAATAAGGAATTAGGTTCATTTCACCCCAAATTAACAGAAAATAAACTAGCATCATAAATGAGCTGCTTTTTCATAAAGGAAACACGCATAAATTACCCAGGAAACAGGACAAGACAAACATCATTCAAGTATTTCTTGGAAAATGTTCTTAGTAATGTTATAAATGAAGTGCATGAAATTGAAATGAACACTATAAAATTACTTCCTGGTCCAACGAAGGAAAACAAATGTTTTTTTTTCTACCTGAAACAACTGTTATGCAGCAAACAAAGTCTGTTTGGTAGTAACGTTATTATTCAGTCAGTAAACTACATCCTTATGTACAAAATTTTGTCGAAAAAGGCTTTCAATCGGTCAGTAAAAAATTTTATTCGGTCAGTAAAGGCTGTCATTAGGACAGTAAAAATTGGTATTCGGTCAGTAAAGGCTGTCATTCGGTCAGTATAAATTGTTATTCGGTCAGTAAAAGCTGTCATTCGGTCAGTAAATATTGGTATTCGGTCAGTAAAGGCTGTCATTCGGTCAGTATAAATTGTTATTCGGTCAGTAAAAGCTGTCATTCGGTCAGTAAAAATTGGTATTCGGTCAGTAAAGGCTGTCATTCGGTCAGTAAAAATTGTTATTCGATCAATAAAAGCTGTCATTTGGCCAGTAAAGGCTGTCATGCAGCCGGTAAAGGCTGTCATTCGGACAGTAAAGGCTGTCATTCGGTCAGTAAAGACTGTCATTCGGTCAGTAAAGGCTGTCATCGCGGCAAGCAAGTTTGTAAATTTTACCCAGCGAGGTATTATATCGCCGAGAATAAGGTATAATATTTCACCGAGGTATATATATCCGTCAAATACCTGAGCGTATCGTGTATCACCTCAGTATATAACATGCTTGCATAAGAAATACCTTAAAATCGCTGTCTATATCACGTTGATATATGTAAATTCCCATTTTTTCCGAACTTTTTTTCTAGAATTGTACTACAACTGTAAGACGAATTGCCATGTTTTTTAACACTTATAGTCTGGTAATTCTGAAAACATGACACCTCGATTTTCACTATATTGCGTTATTTAATGATTTCCACGTGGATTTTTGGTTTCATTTGTCTAAACTTGCATCCTAGATCCGCCGTGTACGTTCAGATTAGTCGTAAGTTGAATAGACATGTTATTTAAAATTGTTAAATTACTTATGTAAAAGCAACGCAATTTGTGTGTTCTAATAGTTAGTGATAGGGTGGATAAACACGAACAAAATACTAAGATACTATTCGTAAACATGTCTGTTGTAAAGAAAAAACACACACATAAAACAATATATGCCAATAAGTGAGAGCGGATGTATGAACAATGCAAACACTCTTTAAGAGACGTTCGTTCAAGTATGTAATTTCCTGATGATTTCAAAAGAACTTTAAATATTTAATGAGAAACCTTTCTTACCACGTGTTTGCCAGTTAAAAGCATTGCTCTGGTCGGAGTGCACAGCGGTGCAACGTAATAATTTTCTAGCTTGGTTCCTTCTTCGGCAAGTTTTACTATGTTTGGTGTCAATAATGCAGAATTGTGATACCCGACGTCGTTCCAGCCAATATCATCCATCACGATAAAAACTATATTTGGAGCGATGCTATGACAACAAACGCATGGCCAAAATGTAACAAATATTGTCACTAATTTTGAAGCAAAAAACATTATTGCAGATGAATTTTAAGGCAAACTCTGGAATGATACGTTGCGTGTTTACGTCCATTCACGTACGTATGTTCCGCATTCACTGAATACCGTAGATTATGTCACGAAGATTATTGTAAATTGAATTTTAAATATAATCTTCTGCCATGCATTCTAAAGTGTTATTTTTCACTACTTACATGTAATGCCACATCTGTGTCGGATTATTTGAGATTATTATTAATTCTCAGACAAAAGCATCACAATGAACAATAATGTTATTTCCCCTGTCTGTGCCAGTGCGGACATATCAACAGATGACGGAAAACATACTGTCATTATAATTACTTTAGTCAACAGAAAACAAAGGTACCGTGTTATGTGTTCGGGAATTATTCATTGTTGCAGATCTAGCGAAAAGGTAGTATGGAATAAGTGTAGTTGAAAGATAAATGTCATAAATATATTAAATAATTAAAATACAAGTAAACAAAAGCATTGACCTAATGTTTTTTGTCAAATGTCATATATTTTGTTCACAATAAAGTACTTAAAGCGGGAGGGTCGTCACCTGCGCACGCGCGGGAATTGAGTCCCAAGCGACGATAACAACACACGCTAAAAACGCAAAGGCTCATGGGTAGACGCCTGTTTGTAAACAACGACACGCTTATGGACATCTGACGCATGCGCAGGTGACGACTCCCCCGCTTTAATCAAGAACTGACATGCCTGAAAGCAGATTTGAGTCTGACACGTCTGATTTGTTTGACTCTTAGGTGTTAGGGTTGGATATAGCCAATCAGGTACAGTCGTGTGAGTTAGATTTACATAGACAATAAAAGCATAGATCCAAGATAAGAGTGTCTGAAAGTCTGATTCAAATGAAGAATATATGTTCATTTGTGAAATTTAAACGTAAGTACTGTCGCAAATCAAATGAAGTTTAAAAGCTCATGTTGCCTGAGGATATTGGAAGCATGAAATATAGTAAATATTTTTATTAAAATCGGGGAGTATCCTAAAACACATATGTTCCGAACTTCATTTGAATCTGTGATGAAACAACTAAATATTTGCAAAAGTATATTAGATTTAAAAAAATATACACAGATGTCATTCTTAAATTAGACACAAATTTGGATTACCCACATGGCTGGAAAATCGAAATCGATGAGTGCATTTCGAGGTATAATAGCTACAAATTGGGTATTTTGGTAAGTAATATGCAATTTTTTAAGAAGATCTATAATATATGAAGACGTTAAAATAATTTCATTTTGTGTAGGCTCTGGGTTCCAAATAACCGAGTATATAATACAACGTTGATATATTTATGGGTAACTAGTACTGTGCGAATAAATGTTACGAAATAGTTTTACGGATATCCATTTATACGTAGGTGAAATTAATTCAAATAAATTATATAAACATTTATTATATATAAGGAACATATGTAACATATGTGTACATAGAATCAACCAATTATTAAACAATCGGAAATGATACGAGTGGCATTACTTGTTGAATGCCCCTCGCATGGCAAGTGAATAAGTAATGTAATAACAATATTAACAGAATACAAAAAGATCATAATTATAAGTCCTTGCGTGTGTGTGTGTCGGGCTGCACACGCGATGGTAGTCATTCAATGCTTGTACAGTAGAATGACCTCGGAGATGCGCCGGCGGGGTCGCTTGAGGGTGCTAAGTGTTAAACACGGAAATCGTAAAATAACGCTTTGTTGTGTTTATGTTGTCATTTCAGAAAAAAACGATATTATATATAAATTAAATTTGAATTTCTTTTACGGGCTAGCCGTACAGATGATTTTATTTCCGGGATTTCTTGACACTATGGTACCGTTAGCTGCCATTCTCGTCCCACATCTTATTTGTCCACAGAAGACTTTTGTATTTCTCCATTTTTTTATGTTTACAACAATCTTAGTATCGGACTAAAGTACTCCCAACTATGACAGTGGCTTCATATATTCCTAATTGTCTTCATAAAAACTGATAGATCTGTGCGAGTATAGACAGCCATAAACGCAATACTAACTTCCTCATGCATACATTCTGCTTACTAATACCCATCCGCGCCTCAGTCACATAATACCATGATTTTTCCGAGTGAACGCGATCTGGGAGTCGCAGGCGCGTTTTTTTTAATGATATGCCACTCCGCTAGTACTAGTAATATAACTCCGTTCTATTAGTGATCCGGGGGATTAGTAGGAACTTACCAACGGATACGAGAGGCACCAAGGGTCTATAAATTATGTTTATAACTAGTGTTTGTGTTATGTTCAGTTAAATTGTGGATTAACAAATTAAATATACTGTTACTATACTATGTAATAGGGTGTGTTTGTGTAAAATTGTTTCAAGGGATAAAATAAAGTTTAGCCTTCCTCACCGTTTTTTTTTTGGATTTGGGTTTGCACTGAAGTTCTGTATAAAATTGCTTTTATATTAGTTGGATGTAAGGTGGGGCCAATAACTGTTGAGTTCGAACACGAATTTGTCTTATAAACATAAAAACGGTAACCATCATGCAGTGCTTATCGACAAAACAATCATAATATTATTATTATTTTTTTACACTAAGAGTAATCGTCGTTAGTAGTAATCATCACGGATACAAACGTGTCACTTTTAGATTTTATATATTCCTTTGCTTAAGCAGCAGCATTAAAATTGAACAACTGTGACAGATTATGGGGGAAACATAAAAACAGCCGGGTATTGAATTTATACAAGCTGTCGCGGGGATTTGCAATCTGTGGATTCCGTACATAATTTTTCATCTTTGAATTGAACAATGCATTGTCCCCTTGTTGTCAGGGTCACGTATTCAACTATCACGGATGAAATCACGTGTTAGGTCATGCAAGGTTCAAAATGGAATGATTGAAGTACTGTTCGTATAAATGGAAACAAATTACAGACAATGTATACAGTTCTACCCACTTTTCACCTACACCGATTGACGTTATCAATGAAGTAGTCTTATACCTGAAAAAACGAACGCAATTTCCATGAATTCACCATATAATGACGGATATACTTTTAATCTTTACATGGTCTATAATGAGGTCTGGGTTGGAAAGTTTAGACAAAGCATCTTTACCCATGGATATAAAAAAGGGTTCTATCAAATCAGTAACCCAACGCCCTCGGAACAACCGGTTGTAGAAGTGCACCGTTTTCTAGGGGTGCACAGTTTTTTAGTAAAACGGTGGGGAATTTGTTCATATTTGAAGATTCCACATGTTTAAAAACGTTTTGAGTCGGGGATGAAATGTCATTCGTGTTTATGGTAATCGCCGAATCTCTGCAACTAGTCGTGAAACTGTAATCCAAATAAAAGAGAAGGCAGTATTCGGGCACATGGTTGATTATGGCGGTACTATGAACAGGCGAGGATGGTCGGCAGACTTGTATTCACAGAATACTGCAGTATTGTGTAATAAAATACACGTATTGTAATAATTTCGGTGCGTTTTTTAAATGGGCATTCTCATATACCTGGAACAAAAAAATCCACGCAAATGTAATAACCTTTGACGATTTTGTAATACTCATAGTTCACGCGTGATCTGTGACGTTATAGTACGTTATTCGTTGGTTACTTTATCTTATATGCATATATATTAATATTATATCCAGACAATTAACGTGATATGACTGAGAAAGATCTCTAGTCCGGTGATGTGTTATTTTTGTTAATAAATTAATTACACGTGAACTTTCAAGTTCGTGGGTACACAGACCATTTATTTGATTAGCATTGCCAACAATCCGTTAACAATTATAATACTATTTTGCGACTTTTGTACCATAAAGGAAAAAATAATAATAGCATAGTTTGGAGAAAAAACGATTACAGAATCACGATTGCCATATTTCCGATATGAACTCTCAAATATTTTGATTTACGCATGTGCTGTGTTCACCTCTAATTATCATTACCAGTGTGTAATCACACTGTGAGTGGGAATTAAAGAATCTGCATATTATAAGGTTATTACGAGGATACCTCAAAGTATGCACGAAGACAGTGCAGGGAAGTATTGACCGTCACGCAGCGGAGGTCAATGCGACGATGTACTGTCTGAGTTAATCATTCCATATTTGGAATTAGCATTTCCTTATATGGTAGGATGAAAATAACCCGTAAAATACCGCAAAATTACAGCACGCTGTAACGTATGGCTTTACAGTGACAGATGTATAATAATGGTGTTTATTGGTATTACCTTCTATCTTCCATGCTGTGAGTTCTCGTGCTTACGTGTGGTAGGACAAGGCCGGCTTGTTACGAAACAGGATTGTTAACCGCCGTACTAGATAAATTATATAACATCGTATTGTAGAAACAGATCGGGATTAAAAGTTGTTGTTGAGGTACTGAAATCGAATTAAAATCCACTGAACGCATGTACGCCCGCCACCTGGTGATAATTATTCATTACTACGTTATGTGTCCCTGTTATTCCAAGTGTCCCTAACTCACCAAATGTGAATACTTATTCCGGGTAATCATTCTATGAAGCCATTTCACCAACTTATATTTTCTAATAAAATATCCAATCTAAATAAAATTCAACTAAAAAGAAAATTAGTCGGGATTACGAAAAAGAATCTATGTATGACAATATTTTGATTTGTATTTAGGAAATAAATTGAGTGCGTAGTTTCTTTCCTTCTAAATACTGAACTAAAAAGACGCCTAATTCAAACATGGATCTACTAGTAACTCCAGGATGCTAGTTAACGTATTTCTCCGAGTCGTTGACATACTAGATTCACGTTGATTCTGAGAACGACAAATTGTAAGCAAATACTTGTATAGGTATTCCAGTTTATGAAACAACAAGACTGCCTGATAGTGCGACGTCCATATTTGATGAAGTTTAGAAGTATAATTCGATATATATGCGTTCTCAGACCACTAATCTGAGA